AAAAAAAAAAAAAAAAAAAAAAAAAAAAAAAGAAAAGGAAAAAAGAAGATAGCCTTAAGATCTGTCTGTAGGGAATTGGGTAAATTATTGTTCATCTATATAAGAGAATGTGATGCAGCTATAACAAAGAATGAGGAAACTCTTTTTTTAAAAAAAATAATTGAAATTTATTTCCTAGGAAGCTCTTTATGTACCAATATAAGACATACTATTAAATGAAAAATGAAATGTGTGGAACAGGTGATAATATGCCATCATTTGTGTCAAAAGAGAGGGAAATAATAATATGTACATAAATGCTTGTATGGATATAAAATATTTCTTGAAAGTTAAGATACTATTGATAGCCTGTGGACAGCTGGTGTCAAGGGTCGGGGGAGACACCTTTTGACCTTTTGAGTCTTGAGTCATGTTTCTATCAGCACCCTGTTGGAGAGGCAAAAAAGCATAGTGGTTCAAGAGCGTGGGCTGTGGGTCCAACCTAGCATAAGTCAAACCACAACTCCTCTATTATTTAGCAACTTTATTAATCTCTCTAGAACTCAGTTACCTCATCTATAAAATGGGTGTAAAATAGGATCTACCTTATAGGATTGTACAGATGAAATGAGTTCATTCATGTAAATCACAGTGCTGGTACAGAGAAGAACTGCATTATTGTTATTACTATTCATTTTCATTATGTATATATAATAACCTATAGGCCAGTTATTTAAGGAGATTAACATAATCTTAAATTGCAACTTTCAATCTTAAATCACACACTGAAATCTTAAATATTAAACGGACCCACAGGCATTATTCAGGAACTTGCTATTTTGGTGTTAATGGAAAAATATTTTTGGTGTTATCTTGTTTTGGATTTTTCAGACACCCCAGATGTCGACATATATTATACTCTGGATGGCAGCAAACCTGAATTTCTAAAGAGAGTTGGTTATGGTGAAAATAACACATTTAAGTATATAAAACCTATTACTCTGCCTGATGGAAAAATACAAGTTAAAGCTATTGCTGTGTCAAAGTAAGTTAAGAGCATGGTGATTAATTTATAATATAATAACATTATGTTCTAATTTTATTCACTTTTTTCTATCAGAATCAGTGCTGCATTAGAAGGGCCCTAATGAAATTTTATTTTAATTTCAGCATACATACGTAACATTTGTATTTTACTTGCCTTTCATTGTAAAGTGCAGAAATCATAAGTAAACAGCTCAATTTTCTGATCTTTAAATATATGTAACACTTCACAAAATACATAAAGTGTTACATATATTCATTCTGTTTTTATTTTAAATTCCACATTGGGGTTTCAGAAAGGAAGATCCTTCCCAAGGCTGGGGGCCTCTAAAGAGCTCCATCTGGCTCAGAAGAAAATGCTGTGTTTACAGAGTGGCTCTTTTATTCCCCAGATGTAGCCTACAACTACCGCCATCATTCTTGATTTCATTTTATATTGACTTAATTGGCCTTCAAAGCTGCTGTCATTTCAACTTGTTGGGCATTAGCTACCATACTTTTTTCTTTATCCTTTTTTTTCTTACTCAATGACTTTTTCTCATTTTCAAATATAGAAACACTATTTAATTTGGAAACCTTCACCATGTGTTGTAGGAAAAAAAATAACTGAAATGCTTGGCAAGTCTGTGTGGCTGTGTTATAGGAATTATTTTTCCAGCAATGCAGGTTTGGCCACATTTGGGGAACATTTTAAAGCCCCAAACCAAATACAGCACCTGGCTGGCCCAGGTACTTTAAAAAGATACCAGCCCCACCCCCCACTGGCTGAGTTCCTGCCTGGCTTTTTGAGGAAAGCCACACATTCCACAGCAAACATGATCGCTTTGGCATCTGAAAATTAAAACAATCAAATGAAATGAAACAAACAACCCCTTTATGTACATTATTATTATTTTTAAGTGGGTTCTGCAGATGGAGTATGTGGACGTTATTATTCTTTTAAAATATTGGAATGTGTAGCCTTTTTTCACTTGCCAAGCCACTTCTTTCAAGGTAGGTCATCTCAATTACTAAAAATTAAGAAGCTAAATACTCTGGTGGCCAAACGCTGTAACGCAGGCCTCCTTAGACGCTGCAAGTAGTATTAAAATGAAGAAGCAATTTGATGACTGACTATACAGCTTAAAGGAGCTAATAAGGCTTTTAAAAATGAGTAAAAAATAAGGTCATTCTTTATGCCTCTCACCATTCTGCTCTTTGCCCACTAAGTGTCTATTCTGAAAGGTACTGTTAGTGTTTCAGATGTGCTCAGCTTAGGGAAAATATTTCTATAAAAAAATTTTGCGTTTTCAACTCAAAAGGTGAATGCCTTAGCTGGTTCCCTAAGGAAGGGTCTGCTGGGGTGGAGAAAACAACCCGGATGTTAGAGGGGTGGAACAGGTGGATAAGAGCTAGGCTTCTACTGATGTGACCTCATGTGGGGTTGTAAGTGTGCATTCAGGGAGCCTCACGACCATCCAGGATTCAGGCAATCCTTGGATGGAGAAGCTTGTGATGTCTGGGAAGTGTGCTAACAGGAAGGACAATTGGATCTTGGATGACAGGCCTGGGGCCAAAGGTGAACATGCAAAACATCCAGAGATGGATGCCAAGGTGAATGAGTTAAGCAAGTAGTTCATCTTAAAGATCATCTACATCTGTATCCATATTTATGAATCTGTTTAACATTAAACGGCATAGGAGTTTTAAGCTACCTTTCTAGAAGATGGAGACAAAAATTCTGAGAAATACACAATTCATCTAAATAGTCACTACCTATCAGTGAGTGACAATATTTAGAAATAACATACTCAGCTTTCTGTGATCAGAAGACACTTGCATGTTCACTGGCTGGAGTGACTAAGAGGTGGCTAAATTTCTTTTTTTAAAATCCCTCTTTTTAAAAAAATAACAAAACCAGATTTACAGATTCATATATCTACCCCTCTAAGATCCAGGGATACTTATTAAAGTTTCAAAAATTATAAGAAATATAAAAGATGGATGTGTAAGAAATCTGAGCAGTTGCTAAAGAAATGCTAATGAAACAGACAATATGAATTAAAGATCAGTATGAAAATTAGTAAGGACAAAGCAGAAAAAGAACGCCGAAGAAAGAAAATAATTGAAAACATAAAAAGTACTGGCCAGGCGCTGTAATCAAGCCTGTAATCCCAGCACTTTGGGAGGCCGAGGTGGGCAGATCACGAGGTCAAGAGATCGAGACCATCCTGACCAACATGGTGAAACCCCATCTCTACTAAAAATACAAAAATTAGCTGGGCGTGGTGGCATGCGCCTGTAGTCCCAGTTACTCAGGAGGCTGAGGCAGGAGAATTGCCTGAACCTGGGAGGCAGAGGTTGCAGTGAGCCGAAATTGTACCACTGCACTCCAGCCTGGTGCCTGGTGACAGAGTGAGACTCTGTCTCAAAAAAAAAAAAAAAAAAAAGAAAAGTATTAAGAGACTGGGCAGATCAAATAGAAACACTGGCTGTGGGTAAGCAGTGAGTCATAATCACACAGAGAGTATAACATAGGAAAGGTGAGCTTTCAATGCAAGTGAGGAGGGGTGAGAGTTAGACACATCAAATACGCCAAGTGTGGTAATGATGACATGGCAGAGGCTGCTGGATGTCTCCCAATATCTGTTTTTCCCTTCCATAATAAAAGGACCCATGATTTTTAGCCAGGCACATGGTTGCCTAGAAGATATTTCCCAGTCCCCATTGCAGCTAGTTAAAGATGTGTCACCAGGCTGTAGCCAGTAGATATATGTAGAAGTGATGTGTTCAACTTTAAGATTGCACCTTTAAAGAGAAAGGGTGGGCTTTGCTTCCAACTGGTTAGAATGTGGATGTGGTTGGCTAGTCAAGTTGGGCCATGAGGATAAATGCAGTGTCATAGAAATGATGGAGTAACAAGGTAGAAACTTGATATCATGCTCTTGTCACCATGACACCCCTATGTCAGCTCTAGACTGCTTATCCCCTATTACTTAGGTCTTGTTTAAGTCTCTGTTGTTTTGTTTGTTTTCGTTTGCTTTTTGAGACAGGGTCTCGCTGTGTTCACCCAGACTGGAGCGTAGTGGCATGATCTTGGGTCACTGCACCTCTGGCACCTGGGTTCAAGCCTCAGCCTCCTGAGTAGCTGGGATTACAGGTGTGCACTACCACAGCCCAGCTAGTTTTTTTGTATTTTTGGTAGAAATGGGGTTTGTTATATTGTCCAGGCTGGTCTTGAACTCCTGGCCTCCACCTGCCTTGGCCTCCCAAAGTGCTAGGATTACAGAAGTGAGCCACCATGCCCTGCCTTAAAACCACTGTTGTTTTGATTCTGGTTACAACAGCCAAGCCTGTATCTTGATAGACAAGGGATATAAATATCAAGCAAATACCTGCAGAGAACATGATCAAGAGTACAGGTCATCAGTAAGACTGACAATATCAAGTGTCAGCAAGTATGTAGAGAAACTGAAACCCTGAGCTAATGCTGTTGGGAATTTAAAATGGAACAGCCACAGTTTGGCAGTTTCTAAAAATTAAACACATACCTGCCATACAACCCAGCAATTCCACTCCTTGGTATCTATTGAAGAGAACTGAAAACGTGTCCACATAAAGACTTATATGTGAATGTTCCTAGCAGCTTTATCCTTAATGGCCCAAACCCAGAAATAATCCAAATGTGCACTGGGGAATGGACATAAAAATTGTGGTGCCGGGCGCGGTGGCTCAAGCCTGTAATCCCAGCACTTTGGGAGGCCGAGGCGGGTGGATCACGAGGTCAAGAGATCGAGACCATCCTGGTCAACATGGTGAAACCCCGTCTCTACTAAAAATACAAAAAAATTAGCTGGGCATGGTGGCGCGTGCCTGTAATCCCAGCTACTCAGGAGGCTGAGGCAGGAGAATTGCCTGAACCCAGGAGGCGGAGGTTGCGGTGAGCCGAGATCGCGCCATTGCACTCCAGCCTGGGTAACAAGAGCGAAACGTTGTCTCAAAAAAAAAAAAAAAAATTTTGGTATATCCATAACATGGAATACTACACAACAATAACAGTGAACGAGTTACAAAAACATGGATGAACCTCAGAATAAAGAGATAAAAGGCCAGGCGTGGTGGCTCACACTTGTAATCCCAGCACTTTGGGAGGCCGAGGTGGGTGGATCACCTGAGGTCAGGAGTTCGAGACCAGGCTGGCCAACATGGTGAAACCCCATCACTACTAAAAATACAAAAAATTAGCCAGGCATTGTGGCACATGCCTGTAATCCCAGCTACTTGGGAGGCTGAGGCAGGAATATTGCTTGAACGTGGGAGGTGGAGGTTTCAGTGAGCTGAGATCGTGCCATTGCACTCCAGCCTGGGCAACAAAGCGAGACTTTGTCTCAAAAAAAAAAAAAAAAAAAAGAGATAAATGAAAAATCCAGACACATAAGATGACTACATATGTATGATTACATTTATGTTAAATTTCTAGAAAAGACAAAACTATAGAGATAGAAAACAGATCAGTGGTTGCCTAGGATAGGAGTTGGCAGCAAGGAGTGACTGCACATAGGCACAGGGGAATTCTTTTGGATGATGGAAATGTCCTAAGCATTTCTACTGTGGTGATATTCTCACAATTATATTCATTGACTGAATCCCATTGAACCAGATACTTAAAATAGACGAATTTTATGCCATGTAAATTATACCTCAATAAAGCTGTTAAAAAATACAGTATAGGTGAGCTACTGGTACTGCAAGAAAATCACCACTAGTTTTTAGTCATGGACGCTGCTACATTGTCTTCTCATGAAACTCTTATTGCATCAGAGACCAAGATGAATTGTGAAATATTATGAATAAATGGAAAACGTGACGGTATTTGATGTGGTAGATAGCCTTCAAAAATGGCCCCAGTGAACCATGCCTCTCATTATTCATGCCCTTTTGCAGTCTTTCTGCTGGTGTTGTGACTTACTTTTGACTAATAGAATGTTTCAGAGATGATGCCAAGGACTTCTGAGATCACAAGAAGTATTGTAGTTTCTGATTTGGCTTCTTGGGACAAAAACCCTGGTGGGAGTGGATGGGGTAGCCACGTACTAAGGAGGAAGTCTGACTACCTGAGGCTTCTGTACTGTGAAGAAGCCCAAGCTAACCACATGGGAGAGAATGGGAGGGACAGAGAGATGGAGACTGAGTGAGGGCGGTAAGTGGCGAGCCCCTAGCTGTTCCAGTTACCCTAGCCTAGGTTTTGTATATTTGCGAGAAGTTATTTTGGACATCCAGCCCAGTGTAGTCTTCAGTTGATGCCAGCCCTTGCTGATGTCAGATGGCAGCCACATGGAAGAGCTCAAATGCGGCCTACCCAGTGGAGACCAGTGAATCCACAGATTCATGTTTTAAGGCACTGCGTTGGGGTGGTTTGTTACATAGCAGTCAATAACACAAAAGGAAGGAGGTAAGGAAAGAATATAGAAATTATATTTGATTTCTTCAGTTTGAAATATAATAAATTTAGTAGCTAGACCAAGGTACTTTAATAAAATCATGTTCAGTGTTAGCCACTTTTTTTGAATCTTTTTTTAAACCACACTTTTTTTTTTTTTTTTTTTTTTTTGATAATTTTCAGAGACTGCCGACAGAGTGGCATTGTGACAAAGGTGTTTCAGGTAGACTATGAACCACCAAATATAGTCTCTCCTGAAGACAATGTTGAAAATGTTCTCAAAGATTCTTCAAAACAGGCAAGTTGTGAAACTATAATCTATTCAGATTGTCACTGTATTTTTGGTTCCTCCTTTCTCAGTGGGCACATCTTGCCTTCTATTGCCTTACCTCTGCTCACTGTCAGGTCCTTATAATTGAAGTCAGTATCAACCGCTGCAAAGCATCTTCACTGATTTCCCAGCCTTTCGTCACTCTCCTATCCACCCTGAAGATGAGACTCCCTGCTGACCATTGGGAATGTGTCTTCGGTGTCTTCAGTGGCTCTCTCTTACCTACTGAAGAAAGCAGAAACCTTTAGCCTTCCATCCAAGTCGTCAGTTTCTGCCCTTGGTTGGCCTTTCCTGCTTTGTCTGTGAACCCTCTACATATACTCCACCCAAATGAACTGTGTGTGCTGTGCCCTATCACTGCTATCCTGGCACCCAGGCCTTCTTTTATAAACTGCTTTGAGCATGTGATTTCTTTGTTCCTTGTCTATCTTGCCTATGCATTATAAGCTCCAAGGTGGCATGGTTGCTGTACTCATTGCCTTGCACAGGGGCAGGCAGGAGAGGGTGGCGAGTGTGTATTTGTTGAATAGATATATTGGGTAAGTAGAAGTCCTCAGTGGGCATAGAATTATTTTATGTTGAAAGGCTGGGCGTGGTGGTTCACGCCTGTAATCCAAGCACTTTGGAGGCCAAGGCAGGCGGATCACCTGAGGTTGGGAGCTCAAGACCAGCCTGACCAACATGGTGAAACCCCATCTTTAAAAAAAAAAAGAATTATTTTATGTTGAAATCGTCATTCCCAAATAGCTGCAAAGCCTCCCCACTGTGAAGATTCAACTAGATCCATCAGAGAAGGATGTGTGAAGCTTAAGTTACTGGGCGTGAATGTTAGTGAGATAGATTCAAGGAGCTGGGCCAGAGGATGGACTAGCCTGCGGTAAGGCAGCCAGCCCAGTGGTCTTGGTCACAGGGATGTTGTTGGGAGTGGCAAAGGAAGTTTACAGAAATTTCACTTAAGATTGACCATGAACCTGAGGTTAGAGAGGAAGTTTTGGGACCAAAGCAGTGGATGGAGGCATGGAGGGGGCCCAAGTGTGATCAAGGCAGGGGTCTACACAGGGCAGGGGCTGAGCCCACATATATCAGCAGGTGCTTAGGCCTGAATCAGATGTGAGGGACCAAGTTAATGGAGAAAGTCCAGAGAGGAGAGGGTTTAAGGACTGTGTGTGGGCAGGTGATGTGCAGAAGTCCGATTTTGGTCTGACCCTACTCTGCCTTTGCCCTCTGGACTTGGTGGTCCCTCTGTTGTTACCCAGACTCCCAGGATTGTCACATCCTGCCTGCATGTGCTGTTCCCCATCTCCTGTTTTGGCTGCTTCACCTGGTGAGGCCTACATCCAGACGTGCTGGTGCTGTTAACCAAGCAGCCCTGCCCAGATACAAAGTTACATGTTTCCAGAATAAAGTGAAACAGATTTCACTTTGTAAAAAACTACCGTAAACTCTTTCAAATAAGAAATGCACACCATGACCTCTCTATCATGCAGCTTTAATTCTCAGAATAGTCTAGTGATTGATAGGCAATTTCTTCATTCCTAGGAATTCAAAAATGGATTTGTTGGATCAAAACTAAAGAAGAAATATAAGAACTCTGAAAATCAACGCAGCTGGAATGTTAACATTAGAAAGTTTCCAGGTATAATGTGACAGAACAAATACAAGGTTTTATATACTGAACCTACCAAAGAGCATGTTTGTTGCATGTTTTCTTGCCTGCAGAGGTGTTGGAATAAGAAATACTGGGGCAGGAAAGTGTGCTGTACTTTGAATTTTAATGCTGTCCTTGCTAACAGCTTTAGATGATGAAGGAGGATCAAGCAGTCCAACCAAGTCAGATTTCTTGACCCACTGCAGGGAGCCATGGGGGCATCTCACCAAACAGAGGAAAGGCTGGAGTTGTAGGGCTTGGGGGAAGGGTGGAGTTTGGGTGAAATATAAATGAAAGCAGAGTTTTGATAGGCTCAAAGTGAAGCTAGTTTGGGTGTGAAGGGATCAGCATCAGGTATGGACTGGGAAGGGGACCCAGGGTTCTGTTGCTGGAAACTACACCGATGCATTGGGAATACTATGTTCAGAAACGATTATCTCTGCACCAGGGTTGGACATTGAGGCTGCTTCTCTACGTCAAAGTGGCTTAGATCCCTCAGGTAAGAGTTGAATGTTTCGTTCTTATTGAGAATTTCAAACAGCAAAGTTTATGATAATCTGTGCTTTTAGAGAACAGGGTTTCTCAGTGAGAAAGAATAGTCATGGAAAGAGGGGGCTGTTAACAACATTTTGTAGCTGCAGTGTGTTATTGGGAGATATACTATTTCCTGCCAACCTTGCAACTGAATTGATCTGTCTGTTTTCTCAGCCTGTTGTGGAATACTGTAGAATGCAGCAGGGAGGATTATCTTCTCAGTCTGGGCTTATTTTTTCTTTCTCACTTCTAATACACTGAGTGTGTGGTGGGAGCTCTTTATTTAATTGTTACTTCTAGGGAAGCAAAGTGATGACACTGGTTCCTTATTAAAAGGTCTCTCACTATGAAGACATCTTTGCATGATTATATATATAATTGCAGATACTCAAAGAACTATGTTTTTAATATCATTGTAGACCTCCAGGTAGGTGAAAGAACTGACCCTAAAACTTTGAAAGATCTTCGCTTCTCAGAGAGTCCACTGGAAATCCCAGCTTACGGTGAAGGATCAGGTTCTAGACCACGCACCCACCAGTCCCAGGTAACTTCTAAGGACAATCTTTAGGGTACTGAGATACCTCCTATATTTTTAATGCTTCCCATGAAATACTTTAAGACTGCCCCTCCCACTCTTTTGGCCATCTGCCAGGCACAGTTCAGTGCTGGGAATGCTGTGTTAGACAAGAAGAGTCCCTCTATTCATGGAGTTTACATTTTATTGGGCTTGGGGGCAGACAGATAATAAATAAATAAATAAACAAAATTTAAAATGGTGGTAAGAGTCATGAAGAAGATAAAATGGTAATGAGATAGCACAGTGGTTCTCAGAGGCAATCCCCAGACCTGTATCATCAGCATCACGTGGGAACTTACTTGAAATGCACATTCTCAGGCCCGATGAGCAAGGTAGGAGATGAGGCAGGAGGTGGCCGGGGCCAGAGCATCTAGAGCTGTGGTTCTCAAACATGGCTGCACATTAGAATCACCTGAGGTGCTTCAAACCAATCCCCAAGGGTTAGCCTCAGAAATCCTGATTTAATTGGTGATGTGGGGTTTGAGCATCATTTAAAAAATAAAACAAAACCCTAAATGATTCTAATGGTCAGTTATGGTTGGGAGTCACAGATATTAGTCTGACCGTAACAAGTTTGGATTCTATTCTAATTATAAAGGGAATCTATTTGGTAGGCAAGACATGATCCTATTTACACTTAAAAGTTTTCTGGTTGGCTACAGTATGGAGACTAGACCGTAGAAGAGAAAAGGGAGAACATCATTTAGGAGGCTTTTTTTTCAGGTGAGAAATGATGGTGGCTTGGACCAAGATTGTGGAGGTGGTCAGGATAGGAGGCGGGCTTGGCTGAGGGATCATATAGATGGGAGGGAAGAGGAGGAACCAATGATGCCTCTCAGGGTTTGTCCTGAGCTTCTGGAGATGATGGTGCCATTGACAAGGCTGGAAAAGATGAGAGAGGAGCAGGTATCCAAGGGCACATTAGACATCCAAGTCGAGGTGTTGAGTAGACTGTTGGATGTGCAAGTTCATACTGGGGAGAGGTCAGGGCTGGAGATATGGGCTTGGAAATATGGAAATATTCAATATGTTGATGGTATTCGAAGCTTAGGTCTGAGTGAGATCACTAGTCAAGGCTGTACAGAAAATGAAGGGAAGGAAAATGAAGAAAGTCTTCAACTTAGAGGAAGAGGAGCCTGAAAGTAGAAAGTCAAAATAATATGTTACCATGGAAACCAAGAGACGGAAGAATTCCAAGGAGAAGCTCATCTATGTCATATGTTACTGAAGGTTCTAATTAGATAAAGACAGACAACTGGAAATTCCCATTGGATTTGACAAGATAGAGGTGACTTATAACCTTAAAGGCATATCAGTGCAGTCTTACTACTATAACACAAGAAAGATGCTCTTATACTAGTTGCCTACTAGTACTATTATAGTGCTTTGATTTTTCAATGTTTATAAAATCCAATTTGGACTTTTGGCACCTAAGGGCAACCCAGGAGCCCTCGTTTTCTTTCTCCTATTTGAGTCCCAAGTTTAATGTACCTGGAGTCACATGTTCTGTATAACCACAACTGCTTCTTGTGTGCCCATGATTCCGTGGCTCCTCACACTTACTATCAAGTATAAAGGAGGTAAAAAGCATGGTTTCCAAACCCAGCTGCATATCAGAATCACCCAGGGAAATTTTTAAATATGTATTGAGTCCCAGATAGGCTCCCTGTAATTCTCCTAGATAGTCTGAGTCCATTAGCCTGGGATGGAGTCCACGGATGGCTTTGCTGATCAGCCAGACTGAGAATCACTGGCCTAGAAGACCAATTATCCTTATCCCAAGGTCAAGCTCTTTCCTTTACTTCTAGACTCTAATGCCAAGGTGTAACTCAGCCTGACCTCCTAGGCTCTTCCATCTAGCCATTCACTATATTTTTTGGAGAACCACAAAGCCCAGGCCAGAGGACCCAACCTGGGAAGGCCTGCTTGCAAGGCCCGCTTAACAAAGGGCAGCCAACCCTTCATAGAAGATTGCCTCTCCCAGTCTTCCGGAAAGAATGGTTCTCTGGTTATCAAATGGGCTGAAGAGCACACTCAAATCCAGTGGGCAGTGCACACTGACATGACCCAAATACTGCTTCAGAGGTAAAACATATCATTTTGAAGAATGAATGGTCTATGATAAAACACAGGAGCTATTTTAGAGAAGCAGTCCCACGTGGCTGTAGTTATTTGCAATGTGCCTAGAAATATGTTCTTTGTGAATGAATATTTGGATTACCTTGCCCACTTAGTTGTTTGAGCTGTTGATTACAAGGGAAAGATAAAATAATATTAAAGATTCCAAAATTTAGAGTCCCCCAAAACTGGGAACAGCAGGACAAAGACAAAGTTTGAGGAATTTGACTAGAGTTCAGAAAGCCAGGAAGGCCGGGAGAAGATCACAAAACTCTTTTCTTCCACTCTTTTTCTTCATATTGGTAAGAGAGTCTTCTCAGTATTTCAGCTGAATCCCATCTGAAGCATACTTTAGCAGACATCCTCATTAATGATGCTGGTGGGTATTACCACATTTCAGCAACCCCAGGGAGACAGAATGTTTCTGAGCTTAGCATCTGGCCTGAGGGAACCTGCAGGGGTCAGGCAGCAGAGTAAATGCATGATGCAGCCTGGGTGGAGGATAAATGACAGCCGATACCTGGCCATACTGTAGGGGCATGAGAGTTGCAGGTTCTCTGACAATGTGAAATACTCCAGCCAGTTAAAGGAATCACTCTACCCAGCCCCAGCCAACCATTAGCAAGAAGGACTGAAGGCTCAGTATTGCTACATCCAATGAATTTGCATGAGAAACCAGAAACCTACATCTTTATGTGTAATAACATGATTTAAAGTTTTGACAATTAGTTCAAATGTTGAAACACTATGGAAGCCAATGCCAAATAAAACTTGATGACAGGCCAGATTTGGCTAATAGACTACCACTTTGAGACTTCTGGTCTAGGTCATGTTACTTTTTAGTTATTTTTCTTTTTGTAGAGATGGGGATTCACTATGTTACCCAGACTGTTTTTGAACTCCTGGCCTCAAGCGATCCTCCTGCCTCAGCCTCCCAAAGTATTGGGATTACAAACGTGAGCCACTACACCCAGCCGAGGCCATGTTAGATGTGGCACAGAAGCAATGAAAAACCTCTGACTGCTCCCTATTGCCTACAGGATAAAGTCTGAAGTCCTAAGCTGAGCACATAGACATTACAGTAAAGTAGGAGTCTAGGGGACTCAGGTAGGCTTGAGTTCAGTACATGTACTATTAATGTGAACTTGAGCAAGTGACTCAACCTTTCTGAACCTCAGCATCCTCATCTCAAAAGTGAGGATTATATGAGCCTCTTGATATGCCCTGAGATGAACATAATATCATTTCCCTGGAATTGGTGCCAAAATGAGTGACTGAGGAAATAAATCATGAGAAAACAGCAGACAAAAGCAAACTGAAGGAGATTCTATGAATTAACTGGTCTGTTACTCTTCAAAAATGTCAAGACTGGCTGGAAATTGTGGCTCATGCCTGAAATCCCAGTGCTTTGGGAGACCAAGGTGGGAAGATTGCTTGAGGCCAGGAGTGTAAGACCAGCCCTGGGCAATATAGTGAGACCCTGTCTCAACAAAAAACAAATTAGCCATGAGTGGTGGCACACACCTGTAGTACTAGCTACCCTGGATACTGAGGTGGGAGGATTGTTTGAGCCCAGGATTAAAGGTTACAGTAAGCTATGATTGTGACACTGCACTCCAGTCTGGGTGACAGAAAGACTCTGACTCTAAATTTTTTTAAAAGTAAAAATATAATTATATATATATATATATATATATATATATATATATATAAATTTAAGACAGTAACTATTCCAGATTAGAGTGATAAAAGGAACATGGCAACTAAATGCAATTGTGACATAGTACTGGATCAGGAAAAAATGTATGACCGTAAAGGACATCATTGGCACAACTGATGAAGTCTAAAGAAAGATCTGTGAATGAGGTAATATTATAGTATTGTATCACTGTTACCTTTTCTGATTTTGATACACTGATACAAGAGGAAAACCTTGTTCTAAAGACATGCACACTCAATTATTTAGGGCAAAAGGACAACATGACTGTAGCTTGTTCTCACATGCTTCAGAGAGAGAAAATCAAGGCAAATGGGGCAAAATGTTAACATAAATAATTGGCTGAGCTGGATATACAGGAGCTACTTGTACTATCCTTGCCACTTTTCTGGAAATTTGAAATTACAATGTGTCAAAATGAAATGTTACAAACATAAAATAAATGCGAATAATATTACCCACCTCCTAGGGTCTTTGTAACATGTCAAGGAGACAATGGCTATGAAATGCCAGGCACATTTGACCGTTATCAGACCGTCTAAGTTTTAGCTTCTCCCCTTCATGTTCCTTCTCCGGCCTTTCTGTCCTGTTCTACCACTCGGGCCTCTAGATCACAGCAAGGCACCTGAGTCTCAGGATAGGCCGCTCCCCTGCCACTGTGCTTTTGCCTGTGGATCGCCTCTATTTGGAATTCCCTTTGTCCTTCTGTTCACTTGACACACTTTTCTTTACTCTGCCAGGCCCTGAGATGTTACTACCTCTGAGAAGCCCTTCTCTCCTGGTGCAAATGAATGTGATTATTCCCTCCTTTAGATTCCCATGGAAGTCAACACAAAGATGTTCTCCTCCTGAACACATTGTGTTTCAGTTATTCTGTGTGTCTGCGAGTTCAGCTTTTTATGGGGCAGGGACCACGTAGTATTTATTTTTGACCTTTTCTGTGCACCAAGCACAGTGCCTGATACAAAGTGGATTATATCAAACATGTATTGAAGGGAGTTAAATGTTTCTGGATAACTGTAGATGCTTGATGCACATGTTTTTATAGGTGAGTCCTTTGGTTTCCTGGAGATACAATTTTGAGAAAAATGGATACTAAAGTTTATTTATTTTTCCTTTTTTTTTTTTTTGAGACAGGGTCTCACTGTCACTGAGGCTGGAGTGCAGTGATGCAATTCAGTTCACCGCAGCCTCTGCTTCCCGGGTTCAAGAGATTTTCCTGCTTCAGCGTTCTGAGTGGCTGGGATTATAGGCACCTACCACCACACCAGGCTAAATTTTTTGTATTTTTAGTAGAGATGGGGTTTACATTCTAAAATCTGGTCTGTCTGATGATAAACTCAGGTATCTTTTATTGTAAACTCTAATTTTTAATAATATATACATATATGATTGTGAATGGCACTTTAAATAATTTATAAATGTTAGATACTAGAGTAATAATTACATTACTCCTCATAATGATTTTTTATTTTTATAATTTTTTATTTGTATAGATGAAGGGGGTGCAGGTTTGTTACACGTGTTGTGTAATGGTGAGGTTTGGGCTTCTAGGGTACCCTTCACCCGAATACTGAACACTGCACCCAACAGGCAATTTTTCAACCCTCACCTTTGCCCACCCTTTCCACTTTTAGAGTCTACAGTATCTGTTATTTCTTTTTGTATGTCTGTGTGTATTCACCCATAATGATTTTTAATGGAATTTTACTGTACCGTAGCCTTTACCATGTTACTTTGACTGTGTATTTCTCTATATATACCTATATTCTTACTTTTAGTCCCCCAGTTTTGCACACATAAGTGGCCAGAAGTGTTTGACAAGCACGGAGATAATGAGAATTCAAAGGGAGACAGACTTTCTCAAGTAAGTATCACATTCTTTTTACTGTGTCTTAAATCCTACAAAGATACATTGTGGTCAAAGAGAATTTAAAGAGGACATTTTTGCCCACCTCCAACTTTTTAAATTAAATTTTTACAGCTATTAAAAAATGTAATTTTGGGAGGCTGAGGTAGGTGGATCACCTGAGGTTGGGAATTTGAGACCAGTCTGACCAACATGGAGAAACCCTGTCTCTACTAAAAATACGAAAATTAGCCAGGCTTGGTGGCGCATGCCTGCAATCCCAGCTACTTGGGAGGCTGAGGCAGGAAAATCGCTTGAACCCAGGAGACAAAGGTTACAGTGAGCTGAGATTGCACCATTGCACTCCAGCCTGGGCAACAAGAATGAAACTGCATCTCAAAAAAAAAAAAAAAAAGAAAAAAGCATAATTGACCTACAATAAACTGCATGTGTATTTAAAGTTCATTTGACTCTATTTGTATATATGTAACCATGACACTATCACAATCAAGAAAATGAGTAAGTTCATTCCCCACCAAAATTTCCTACATTGTACCCTATTTGGTAACTCCTTCATCTCACCCCTCTTCATCACAGGCAATTATTGATCTGCTGCTTGTCACTGTAGCTTAACTTGCATGTGATTCCATATGATAGTGAAGTGATTCCGTGTGTCCTATTTTCTCCTGGGCTTCTTTCACTCAGCATAACTATTTTGAGAATCATTCATGTTGTTTCTTGTCACAAACATCTGTTTATTTTTATTGCTCAATAGTCCATTGTATGGATATACTACAATTTGTTTATCCGTCCACTTATTGATGGGAATTTGTTTTATTTCCAGTTGTAAGCTATTACAGATAAAGTTGCTATGAACATTTGTACAAAAGTCATTATATGTACAAAAGTGAGCCAGTCTCATAGCCTGATCTCTAAACAAATAAATAAATTGATACAAATTAACCAGTATAATAAAATAATTTTTAAAAACCCCCAAATCATTATATATATACATGTTTTCATTTCCTTTGGGGCAAATACCTTGAAGAGGAATATGATAGGTATATGCTTTTTTTTTTTTTTTTTTTTTTTTGGAGACGGAGTTTCGCTCTTGTTACCCAGGCTGGAGTGCAATGGCGCGATCTTGGCTCACTGCAACCTCTGCCTCCTGGGTTCAGGCAATTCTCCTGCCTCAGCCTCCTGAGTAGCTGGGATTACAGGCACACGCCACCATGCCCAGCTAATTTTTGTAATTTTAGTAGAGACGGGGTTTCACCATGTTGACCAGGATGGTCTCGATCTCTTGACCTCGTGATCCACCCGCCTCGGCCTCCCAAAGTGCTGGGATTACAGGCTTGAGCCACCGCGCCCGGCTAGGTATATGCTTTTTTAAAGAAACTGCCAAACTGCTTTCCAAAATGATTGCTCCATTTTACATTCCCACCAGCAATATATGAGAATTCCAGTTTCTCTATATCCTTACTAACTTTTATTTTTATTTTGGGCATTCTAATGAGATTGGAACAGTTCTTATTGTGGTTTTTATTTGCATTTCCCTAGTGACTAATGATGCTGAGCCTCTTTTCCTGTGCTTATTTCCATCTATGCATCTTCTTTGGTGAAGTATTTGTTCAAACTTTTTGCCTTTAAAAAATGCATCATACATCTTCTTCTTATAGAGTTTTTCTTTTTTTAAAGGATAGCTGTTTGTCCTCACATAGAGCTATACATGCTCTCCTTTGTCAGACGTTATATGGGTACATTTTTGCAAATATTTTTTCCCAGGCTTTGGCTTTTCATTTTCTTAACAGTGTTTTCAAAGAGCTAAAGTTTTTTTTTTTTAATTTTGATAAAGTCCAATTTATTTGTTTTTCTTTTACATTTTATTTTTAGTTTGTCATTATTCAGAAATCTTTCCCAAACCCAAGATGTATTCCATTCACTAAGATTTCCTCCTTTGTTCTCTTCTAGAAGTTTTTTAGTTTCATCTCTTATACTTAGGTATGTGATCCATTTTTAGTTAATTTTTCATATGGCATAAGATAAGGGTTGGGGTTCATATTTTTACCTGTGGATATTCAATTATTCCAGTATAACTTTTTGAAAAAATGACCTTTCCTCATTGATTACTTTTAGAATATTTGAACATTAATTGATGGTATTTGTATGGATCTAATTGTGGACTTTGTATTCTTCTCCATCATTGTTTCTCTATATTTTTTTCACTACCACACTGCCTTGATTATTGCAGCAGCTTTTTTTTTTTTTTTTTTTTTTAAATGAAGTCTCGCATTGTTGCCTGGGCTGGAGTGCAGTGGTGTGATCTCGGCTCACTCCTGGGTTCACGTGATTCTTCTGCCTCAGACGCCTGAGTAGCTGTGATTACAGGTGCACACCACCACACCCAGCTAACTTTTTGTATTTTTAGTAGAGATGGGATTTCACTATGTTGGCCAGACTGGTCTTGAACTCCTGAACTTGTGATCTGCCCACCTCGGTCTCCCAAAGTGCCGCAATTACAGGTGTGAGCCACCATGCCTGGCCAATTATTGCAGCTTTATAATAAATCTTAAAACCAAGTAAATTGTAAATTCCTTAGCTTATTTGCTCCTATCAAAGGTATTTTGGTTATTCTAGGTCCTTTGCATTTTCAAATGTAAATATCAGCTTTTCAGTTTTTATAGAATATCTGCTATGGTTTTAATTGAGATTGTATTGAATCTGTGTATCAATTTTGGGAATATTCACATATTAACAATATTGAGCTTTACAATGCATAAAAATGCTATATCTCACCGTTTATTTAGATCTTCTTTAATTTCTTTCATTAATGTTTGTAGTTTTCAGTTCCCAAGCTTCATACATCTTTTGTTTATATTTTTCACTTTTCAACCCTCAGCTTTTCACAAGCTTTACACATCTTTTGTCAAGTGTATCCTGCTGTAAATGCTTTTTTTTTTTTTTTTTTTTTTTTTTT